ACCTCCAAAAACAAACCCCTTACCCCCACGACCCCCCAACGCCCCACACCAACAACCCCCCTCCCTGACTCAGATCAGACTCACTAACTAACAAACCCCTGCCATCACAGACATCCCACCACCTCCGAACCCTCTCGCTCGCCCCCTACACACACCAGACCCGTCTCCGGCGCGCGCGGACCCTCCTCCCGCCGCTGCTGACCTCGCCCACGCGGCCCTCGCGGGCCGACCTGATCCGGCGCTCCATCGTGCTCACCCACGCCACCTTCGCCTCGCGCCGCCTCGCCCACCGCCTCGCCTCCATCCGCCTCGCCCGCAGCCTGGCCGCGCGCCCCACCCCGGAGGTCCTCGTCGAGCGCTGCGTGCTCCCCGCCGAGTGCCTCCCCCGGGGCGCCGCCGCCGCGCCCGTCGCGCCCGCGCTGGTGGCGCGTAAAAGGGCGGTGGAGAGGGAGCGCGTCAAGGATGGCCTGCGCGCGTGGGTGGGGAGTGTGTGGAAGGGGGAGGTGGGCAGGCGGGAGGAGGGGGTGAGGCGGTGGGAGGAGCGGGCGGGTGTGGGGAGGGTGTGGAGGTTGAGACGGTTTTGGGAGGGGGTTGGGAAGGGGGAGGCGTGATTTAGCTCGTGTTTTTTCGTTTGTTCCGGTTGTGTTGTATGTGTGTATGATATCTGGAGGGTTGGGTCGCGGTCTGTTTTGGAGGTTCTTGTCTGGTTTGCTTCGGGAGATTTCTACCTGGGATGGGGGGTCTATGTCTGTTATCTTGCTGCGTCTCGATAGGATTTGGTGTTTAGCATGACTGATGTGGGAACGATGACCATGAAATGATGAATTAGCCATACCAGCCTTTGCCACATTAGAAAGGACGTACCACGATATATACACGAATTTAGCACGGAGGCAATCCCTGACTGGAAGACGACATCAGTAGGTCGTCACAATCCCATCGTTTCCACGCCCTTATGCGCGGAATCGGAACCCGTCCCAATCATCCTCGTCGTCCTCATCATCCTCCTCCTCTTCCACAGCCGCATTCTCCTTCCCCTCCCCAGAAGCAGCAGCACCCTTCCCCCCAGCACCCACCACCACCCCCACCCCCACCGGCGCCGCCGCCACTGCAGTCCCGCCATTACTCTGCACCCGCAGCGCCTCGCGCCGCTCCCGCAGCTTCTTGGCCCTCGCCTCCAGCTCCTCCATCACCTCGAACTCGTTCTCCAGCGCCCGCGTCGCCTCCTCCTTCTCGTCCTCGATCTGTATGTCCACCAGCGCCCGCCGCCGCGCCCGCTCTTCCTCCTCCGACTTGGCCGCGATCTCGGCCGCGCTCATGACGGGGGCCGAGATCACCGCGTCGCTGGCTAGTAGTGCTGCTGCCGCGGCGGGTTTGGTGTTGGTCTGGGGGGGTTTGTCGTTGATGAGGTCGGCTTCGAAGGCGGCCCATTCCTTTTCGTCTACCGTTGTGGTGGCGGTTGTAGCTGTGGTTGTGGCAGGTGCTGGTTGTGCGGCCGGCCTTGGGCCTCGGATCGAGTCTTGTTGTGAAGTGGTGGCCTCGTCGGGTATCAATGGCGATCGGCCGACGGGGGCTGCCCGAGGGGTTGTGGCCATGGGTGTCCCTGTTCCGCCCGGGCCGGGTGTTGCTGGGCGGGACGCGATCTGCATCTCGACGCCGGCGGTGGGTGTGCCTGAGGTTCTGCGAGAGAGAGGTGGTGTAGTCGGGTTTCCGCCGTCGTCTTTCTTTGCTGGTGTCCTGGTTCCTTGTTGAGAGTGTTCTGTTGGCGAGCCGTCGGGTTTGGTACGTTTCTTTCGGGATATTGTTTCGTCCGCGTCGGCCATGTCCTCGTCTGAATCGGCCAGTTTGCGCTTGTTGGTTGGGCCCGTCGCTTCAGAGCCTTGGTCTACAAATCCAGCATAGCCATTGGATCCGTTCTTGGTCGAGGATTGGTGTATGCTTTGTAGCCGTTGTCGATGGCCGGCGCTCCGAAGATGCTTGTCCCAAAGAGACTCGGTTTTGACCTGCTCGTTACACACGGTGCACACGAGTTTGCCGGCGTCCGAATACAAAGCATGGGGGTGTTCTACCCGGCGGGCCGCGCGCTGCTGCCGTAGGAGGGCGCGAACATCGGCCATGATGGAGGAAAGAGATTGGGTCGGGTTGCGAGAAGACGGTGTAACGCTACGTTAAACCTTGCGTCGGAAGGACTTGGAGGGGTGGGTGCAGTAGCGTGGATTTGGAAAGTCGAAGTCTTTTCTTGGCGAATTGGAACCGGAGAATAACAGACAGTATGTTAGATTCGTCAATGGGCTTGCAAGAAGAAGGTTTTGCATAGATTCTGGGTTAACTACCAGTCTTGTCAGAGCGATGATGATATGATGGGCGGCGCTTGGGGCGCTTGAGGCAAGGTAACCAAGCAACAGCCACAGGGAGCTCATCTATGTGCCCCACGTAACAGTTTAGCCACATTGGCAGGGACAGCTTCAGCCACGGTCGCAGAGGTTCCCACCTTCATCCCACTTTCAATCCATCAGTCACCCAAAGCAACCCGCTCGTTTTCCAGATATCGCATTGACGCATCCATCACAAGGACCCTGTAAATTCGCCGCTAAAAGCCATTCGAGAACCCAGCTTCATCGTAACGCGGCGAAGGATGGCATCGCTCCCGATTTCCCAGACCTGAACCCTCAACCACATTCCCTACGAATTATTCTTGCCTTTTCCACCATTGCGCAACCAGTCTAGCCTTCATTCCCTTTAACGGCGGCGCGCGATGGACAACCATGAAGACGACCCGAACCGAGTAACGGCACTTTGGCCGGACCCGCCATCATTTTGGAGGGACTTTACACCGGAGAATGTCGAACGTTACGATAGTCTTAAGGAGGATTACACACATCAGCAAGGCCTCAGCGCCGACGCCGACGCCGACGCTGTTATTAGGATACCCAGCATCCCGGAGGAGCTGATCAACCTCCAACCCCCGCCAGAACCCACCGAGGGGACTTGGACGTTATTCACCGAGACCCAGACCGTTGGTTCCCTCTCAGCATGGCCGTGATCAGTGGTAGTGGCGCTAACTACCTACCTATCCACAGCTCACCGAAACCCTCCAAAGCCTCGAAGAGGCCGGCATCCAACGACTCGGGCCAACCTCCGACATCGACCGCGACAGCAAGCACCTCGACCGAGGGTTCCAACTAAAAAAGCTGGTTAAGTCCCTGCTGCTCAACTACCTCGAGCTAGTCGGCCTAATGGGCTACAACCCCGACCACGTAAGTCCACATCCTCCCTCCCTCGCCCCCCCCTTTATCAACCACCCCAACCCCACCAGCCACTAACCACGCCCCCAACAAACAGGCCGCCGAAAAAATCGAAGACCTCAAAATCCTCCTCCTCAACTTCCACCACACCCTCAACGAGTACCGCCCCCACCACGCGCGCGAGCAGCTGATCCAGATCATGCACGCGCACGGCGACCAGATGCGGGCCGAGACGGCGGGGATCCGCAGCGTGGTGGACAAGGCGAAGCGCATGATCGAGGGCCTGGCAAGCATCCAGGTGCCGCAGTTGGATAACACAGAGTCAGATACGGGTGGGAAGGGGGCTGTTGGCGTTGGTGTTGGTGTTGGTGGTGCCAAGGCCCAGAGAACAAGATTGGAGCGCGGGAGGGAGGCGGTGGGGTGGGCGGGTGTGGAGGGCGATTTCGCATGATTTGATGTGTTTGTTCTTTATTTTTGGTTTGGGAAGCGGCGTACTTGGGTATGGGCGAAGCGGTAATCATGGGGTACTTCTGCTGCGTGGGGTGACACCTGGGTGGATTCACTGGCGACAAACATGTCCCGGGGCCAGTTAACTATCACGATCTCATCGATAATAGAAATGAATTCAGAAAGCAATTAAACGAGCCCAAGACCCTCATTACGTGGCCTCTTAGGGTGAATGAAACAAGTCATCACGGCTGCTGCCCGTAGCTCATCTCGAGTTATCCTCGTCCGCTGTCATACAGTATAGTCTGTACATACAAAGCACGCTGGCCTCGGCCGCTCGAGTAGCGATAGTACGAATAGAAATGCAGTGATCCGCCCGTATTGGTGAAGCCAAAACCCAACCATAAAGAGAAAAACAAAACGGTGAGCGCTGTTAAGCAAAAGCAAGAACAAAAAAGGAAAAGAAAACCCGCCTCTTGTGGCGTCCCTAGCCAAACTCGTCCCTCTCCATCGCTGGAGTCCTCCATCCCGTTGATTACCATTGGTGCTTCAAACCAGATCCTAATTCCCAGCGCCCGTATAAGCACCACCCCGTAGCCACGCAGCCCATTTCCCACGGCCGCCCTTCGTACCATTCCCCACCCCGTCTCCACTCCTCTCACCCAAATCACCATCACCATCATAACTTGCCTCTTCTCTCTCAATAAGCTCCGCCTCTTCTTCCTCCCTCTCAAGGAACTCCGCCTCCGCTTCCGCCTGGACAGCCTTCCTCTCCGCCTCACTCAAAACCCCCATTAAATCCTGCCCGTCCACATCCCTCACATCTTCCTCACTCCAACCATCACTGCTACTCTCAATGTCACTCAGTGTATCCTCCCACTCCGCCGCCAAGCAATGATCGCATATGCACCCCACCGCACAAGAACACACACCACCCCCCTCTTTATCGCACAGACACCTGTTCTCAGGTCCACACCCGGCGTTTGGCATGCCCGGTTCGGGCGACGGAGGGAGCTCGTCGGAGCTCAAATAATAGCGAAGCCGAGAAGGACGTTTCGGGCGGTAGGACCGCGCCGCGGCCGTGCCAGGTAAGGGGGTGTATGGGGGTGGAGGTATCGAGGGGGGGAACGGAGGGTGTTTTGATACATGGGCTAGGACAGGGTGGCGAGCCTTGAGACCGGGCGGGGGCCCAAGGGTGCGGAGGATTGATCCTCGTTTTGGGAGCGGAGGTGGCGTGTCGTGTGGTAACCGGCGCGGTTCTGAAGAGAATGAGGCCGGAGACTTTCGCGGGAATATGGGTGGCGGTGTTGCTACTGTCCGCCTGTGCAAAAATGAGGTCCGTCTCGGTCGAGGGCTCGGTGGCGGTTCCGGGGAGACCAGTGAAGACGCGGAGTTCCGTTCGTAACGGCGGAGCGGGAGGGGCAGATCTAGGCATGAACTGGGATGAATGGATCGTTCCGTGGAAACCCGGGCTGGTCTTGCGCCTGACTTGCTAATTTCACCCCAGCTGGATGTCAATCTGATCGGGGGTTTGCTATCAATTTCGCCCCAGATAGATGCCAATCTGATGGGAAGTTTGCTAACAAAGGGATTTGGAAGCAGAGACGATGTGTCTGGCGCGGAGCTCGGTGGCGAGGCCGATTCACCCTAGTTGTCGCTTTTTTCGCCGGACTTCTAAGCCGGCGGCCCACCGGAGCTCGTTGTGGCTTGGGGCGGGATTGGGGGCGGCGGAATAGGGGTTTGCCTTGGTGGCCCGGCTGCAGCGGCTGGAGGAATCGGCGGTGGTGGGATAGGTGTGGTCCGAACCGGATGCGGGTGGTGTTGGACTTGCTGTTGCGACTGCTGGGTATGGGCCTGGTGCTGGTGTTGCGGTGGAGGCGGTAGGGGCTGTTGTTGCGGCTGGGGGCGATGCAGCTGCTGAGCATGCTGCTGCTGAGCGTGTGGCTGCGGCGAAGGCGGTACCTGAGGCTGAGCAGGAGGGTGATGTTGCGACGCCTGTTGTTGCAGCTGCAGTTGCTGTTGCTGTTGTTGTTGCCTCTGTTGCTGTTGCTGCTGGCCTTCCCTCTCAAGTATGGTGCTAAGGTACGGAAGATCATCCCGGGTCCTAGGATCTCTCTCATAGATGCGCTTAATCAATTCCCACTCCTTATGTGACATGACGTGTGCCTGCGGGAGTAGGAATGCCACTGTTGGGCTGGTGATCAGATGGCCAAGGATCTCACGGGCCATAGCCTCGCCTTGATCCTGCGCCTCGCGCATGTTTGGTGTTTGCCTCGCAGCTTGTGAAACTGGCGCCTGGGATGAGGACGACTGCTGTACCGGCGTAGACATCCTCGGCGAGGGATACTGCGGGAATGGACCTTGAGGGGAGGCCGGTGAGAATGCTGGCGCAGAGACCGATGCCCGTCCTGTCGGAGGAAACCCGCTCTGGATCGGTGTTGGAGTTCCAGGAGACTGAGTGGACCCTGGGCCATGGGGAATAGCCTTTTGGGGCACCGGTGGATGATTGGGGTCGGTCGTGCCGTGGATGCGTTGGATGGTCTCTGGGTCGTTCCGATAGACAATGACACAAAGCATCATAGGCTCCGTCCTCGTGTCGGGGATGAAGTTGTCTGCCAGGTTCATCATGAATTCAGGCTGGTTGCCAGTGCCGGCTGGCACAGGGACGAGGTATGTGTCGCGAACATTGGCCACACCTTTGTCACCCACCACTCCGTATCTCTTTTTAGAAACAAAATAGTCAATGAGTTTCTGCATCCCCGATTTTGCTGCTGGCGTTGTCGGCTCGAGGCTGACGACGACAACATCGGTGGGGAGGCTGTAACGCAGGCCGCAGAGATAGACAATGGCTTGTTGTTCGTCGATACGACCACACACAGTCAAAGTCCGGGGGAGCAGCTGGTCCCAGGCAAGGTCGATGGTCTCGCTGAGATTGGCACCGCCCATATGCTTCGCGGTAACATCCACTTCGGCGATCGTGTTCATGATGACGCTGCCTCGCCACACCACGTCCGGATCGTTCTCCACCTTAGGCGAGTACGGCGGGGATTGGGTGCCGTCGTCCAGCAGCCGATCAACGTCTGGATCATCACCCGGCCCGTCGGATGGAGGTACGGCGAACGATGCACGGTGAGGTCCCTGGTGAAGAGTGGGTGACTTGACGCTTGAGAAGACCTTGTTCAGGTCAAAATCGGCTCTGGCCGGGGAATGCTGCGAATCAACGGCCGGGCCGCTGGCTGACCGGTGTCTGGCATGCGTTGGGAATCCTGGCGCTTCCTCGGACTCTTGCTTGGGCGCGCTCGGCCGGCGAACTGGTGCGGACGGTACTTCTTCGCTAGCAATAAAGTGGTCGTCGTCGATGATTTCGTCACCCTTATGAGTTCTCCGAACGCGAGGGACATCTTGGGTAATCTTAATAGCCTGTTTCTCTGCTCTCGCCAGCATCTCGGCTGTTTCTTTCCGCAGTTCCTTAGATGCGAGCTCCTCAGTAGACATGGACGCCAGCATCGGAGGCGTTAGTGTGCGGGCAACGAGTTGGGTGATGAGTTCAGGGTTGCTCTTCAAATTGAAGGCCAAGGTCCGGATCTGGCCCGCATACGAGCTCGTAGTCGGGTGGGTGTCATTGACCGCACGCTCAATCTGGAGCGCGAGCCGTTCAGCACGCTCGGCGGCTGACACCCCGTCGGATGGAATACTCCCGTTCTTCTCCGCCGCACCAAATGAGGCGACCAATGACTTGGACAATGCTTTCGCTGGTCCCTGGCGCGCATCTGGCAATCCAGAGATGGTGGGAGGGATATCCCCCGGGGGTGTATACCCGGGAATAGGCACTGATGGAACCTCGTTCGCCTTCCGCATTTTCTGCGATGACATGTCAGTAACCTTAGGCCACCATCGCCGTACTAAACAGGTAGCTTGCTTACTTTGGAATCCTTCTCCTGCGGAGCATCGCCGTTCTTCCGCTTTACGCCCGCGGATTTTGCCTCCTTCTTGGGCTCAGCGGGTGGAGGAGGTGACTGTTTCGACTTTTGAGAGGCATCCTCCTTGAGGTCGCTAGTGCGCTTCTTGCCCTTCTTAGGACCTTTCTTCTTTTTGTCGTTCTTTTCGTCCTCGTAGGCCTTGCGACGGGCTTCCCAGGGTCGCTCACCCTTGGCCATGCCGGAAAGGAGCTCCTTGTGGTTATCGGGCCGGCACAGCTCACAGTAATACTCCTTAGGTAGGTCTTCTGTGTACTGGCTCATGCCCATACAGATGTTGTGCTGCCAGGCGCCGCACTGGTCGCATGCGATCCAGGGTTCACCCGAATCTTCATCTTGCTCTGTGGCGCCGCAGACACAGCGGATGACCTCTTCCTCGGGCTCTTCGGGTTCGGGTGCGGCCTTCTTGCCCTTCTTGTTGCCGCCGCGGCGCTTGGGGGCCTCGATAGGTTGGTCGAGCTGCTCCAATGCCTTATGTTGGCCTTTAGTCGCCCTAACCGATCGGCGCGGTTCTGGTTCTGGATCTCGGTTGGTGGTTAGCTGCTGACCACGAGTGCTGCGGCGGCGAGACGCCATGTTCTCGGCTTGTTGTCGACGACGCTGGTGCGGGCTGGGAAGGGGGGAAAGGGGGAGGGGAGGATATAGGTGCGGGGTGGCAATGCTCTCGGTGTTGCTTACCAGACATCGTCGCGCGTCAAGACGGGACCAAACAAATGGGCAACTGGGTGCCTGCCAAATGCCGGGGGTGCTCTCCCTTGTGTTGCGCGTTCTACTGCAGATTGCTCAAAGCATGCGTGAAAGGTTGCACGCGGTCACTTGATAGGATGTTTACGCTTGCATAAACTAAAATGATGGAACTGTGTAGAATGATGTCCGAGAACAGGACGACAATTCCCTGAAGATAGATATCCCCCAAAGTCTGTGCCTTCCAGCGCCTTCCGCCTTGTGGCCTGCCAGATGGGCGACGCGGGAGATGGACGCAGGAACAACTGGCGCGAGCGCGTGTCGAGGGAAGCTTCGGGTCTAAGCTCCAATGCGACAGACCGCGTGGCGATTTGCTATCAAAAAAAGCGATGGAAACACCTGTAGAATCACTGAAGTAAGGGCAACTTGCCACAAGTAATGGCGCGACAATGAACTTCAGTTGTGTTGACCACACAAAGTGAGCAGGTCGGAAGACTCGAAATGTTTGTGGCGCTGAGGGGTGATTTCGATGGGGAGATTGAAGGAGAGGAGTTTGCGGACTCGGGGATTGAGACAATGCGCGATGCATTGCATGCATTGAAAATGACGGGGAGCGATTAGATAAGCACAGGTGGGGTGGGGAGAGGCGAACTGCCCGTGCACGGAGCACCCGACTGACAGCACCTGAAGTGCAAGGCACCGAGCGAGCTACGCGTGTTAGCGCTTGCCTAGAGCTCCAGTCTGCCAGCCTGGGCCGCATCGCATGCACCCGCAAGAACAATCAGCCTTCCTCCCTCCGCTGCTGCCCGCAAACACCACCCGCCACAGCCAACAAACGACCAGCTGCCGACTTGACCCTCTGCGCAACATACCCTACTGTCCCATTCTTGAAACCGGCCACCATGTCGAGAAGATACGATTCCCGAGTAAGTTGGCCGCTGTTGCAACTCCACCATAACCAACTGGCCCATCATGGAGGAGCTGCTAGGAGGGGCAATGAAGCTTACCCCTCTTGCAGACAACCATCTTCTCGCCCGACGGCCGTCTGTACCAAGTCGAATATGCGCTAGAAGCCATCTCCCATGCCGGCACGGCTATCGGCATCCTGGCCAAGGATGGTATCGTCCTGGCTGCGGAGCGCAAGGTCACGTCAAAGCTGCTCGAGCAGGACACATCAGCCGAGAAGCTCTACATTCTGAATGAGTAAGTTGGACGGCCGGGCTTGGCCATACAACAACGAGTCAATGGGACCGCTGACATGACCAATAGCAACATGATCTGCGCCGTCGCCGGCATGACGGCCGACGCCAACATCCTGATCAACTACGCCCGGCAAGCCGCCCAACGGTACCTGCTGACGTACAACGAAGACATCCCCTGCGAGCAGCTGGTGCGCCGGCTCTGCGACCTGAAGCAAGGCTATACACAACACGGTGGTCTGCGGCCGTTTGGTGTTTCATTCATCTACGCCGGCTGGGACCCACAGCGCCAGTTCCAGCTCTACCTCAGCAACCCTTCGGGCAACTACGGCGGGTGGAAGGCTACGAGCTCGGGTGCCAACCACGCGAGCGCGCAGAGCTTGCTCAAGCAGGACTATAAGGAGGACTGTACGCTGAAGGAGGCGTGCGGCATGGCGGTTAAGGTGCTGAGCAAGACGATGGACTCGACCAAGCTGAGCAGCGAGAAGAGTGAGTGCGGGCTGGGTCGTTGAGATACGGACAAGAGCTAACAGGGATTTAGTCGAATTTGCGACGGTGGGCCAGACCAAGGACGGCAAGATCTACCACAAGCTATGGAGCGCGGAAGAGATCACGGCGTTATTGAAGGAGCACGATTTGGCCAAGGATGAGACAGCCGAAGAAAAGTAGACGAGGACAGGATAGACAGAACGGACGGGAATAAGACTCCTTTCCAATGCTGCGGCGTGTACCGATACAAGGTGAATGCATGCGGGGAACCAAATCTGCTGCGAAGAACTCTGTGCGTATATGCAAACTGTCGCCGGGTCTTTCCAAATCCTCAGCTTCAACCACACATGACTACCTACACACCCCAAGTGCTTAATCGACCTAAATAACACGTAATGTCAGCACTCATCTCGGACTCAGCATGCCCAGCCCAATACCTACATTCCTCCCTCGGCCCAACCCCTCCTCTTCATCCCCCAACCTCCCATACCCACCACCAACACCATCCTCCCCGGCAGCAGGCGGTCCCGCATACGGCTCCTCACAGCGCCCACTGCTCAACCGCGGCCAGTACCTTCTATAGCTCCAATACCCCACCGTATACCCCAACAATCCGCCCACCCCGACATCATACACATCATGCCGATAGTCCTGGCACCGACTAATGGCAATCATCGTGGCTCCCAACAGCGGCGCGCCACACACCAGCGCGCGCACCAAATCCCCGCGCACCAGCTTCTGCGCGTGGTCGCCCACGCTGCCGGGGGCCGCGTGCGCGAAAATGCGCATCTGTCCCGCCAGGAACAGCGCCAGGTAGCCGAGCCCCGCAAAGGCGAAGGAGGAGTGGCCCGACGGGAAGCTGCGCCAGCCGTCGTGCAGCGTGTGGTGGTGGGTCTGGGTGCACACGGCGATGGTGACGAGCTCGTCGCGCGGGGTGTTGGGCGCGGGGAGGCAGCGCGCCAGGAGGTCTGGCCGGGGGCGCCCGACGGCGTTTTTGATGATGTCGGTTAGGAGAGAGGCGAGGATCAGGGAGATGGCGAGGCCGAGGAGGGTGACGTGGTGTTTGTGGCGCGGGGCGTGGGTGAGGAAGTTGGTGAGGGTTACGAGGCCGAGTGGGATGAAGAGAGCATAGATGAAGTCGTGGACTATGTGCGTGGGCGGGAGGCCGGCGGCCGGTGGCGGTTAGTTACTTGTACTCGTGGTGTGGTATCGGGCTGAGGGGAATAGCTGGGGAGGGTATCGGGGGCAGCTTACGGAGGGGCACGCGTTCAACCTCGGCGTGGGGGAAGGCGATGCGGAGGTCGTTGAGAGAGAACATGCGGTGGAAGGGCTCCACGAAGAATTGGATCTGGAATTGCGGCGGCTTGTTAGATGTTGTTGACGTCGTCCGTGTATGGAGGTGTGGTAAGCAAGCGCATGTAAATGAGAGACGCACCAAAAGGTAGGACACGAATAAAAGCACGAATCCAATGTAGTCGGAGGCATAGGTCCTCTACGGCGACAGATACACGAGTTAGCTGACTTCACAACTACCCAATGGGCGACCATGGATCAGGAAACTTGCCTGCCAGAATCTCGAGAAGGACGCCAGAATTCCGCCGCTGGGCCCTCCGTTCGAGTTAGACCTTGGAGGCGCCATGGCGGGTCATCAGTTACGGTCGTCGCAATGCCTTGAGTGTAACCCGGAACACCGGGGGTGGGCGACGAGGACCAGACCAAGGTCGAGGCAAAAGGGGTCTGGGGAATTAATTGATGTACGAGCTCAGGATGGGCGAGGTCGTGTGCTTCCAGGCTCACTTCTTGCCGGCAAGGCTGCAGGCTGCTGCCGCCTTGGCATTCATTCTGGGGTGGCAGGGATCTGGCTGCTTGGCTGGACTGTTCCATCACAGCCTCATGGGAGCCGCTGTCGAGAGAAGGGAGAAGGGAACAGGAAAAGACACGAGGGAAAACAAGGCAATAAGGCAGTGTGAGAACCATAACTTCATTAGGTATCAACTGAAAAGTAACGGCAAAGACATTGAAACTAATAGAGCGGAGTCGGTACCGCTGCTCGGATCCCCTCGTTTCCCGAAGATCATCAAGAATCCCACGACGATGCAAGTGCCAATGCCAGTGATGTCCTGCATGCCACATCCCAGGAAGCCACATGAGGAAAAAAAGCAAGAAAAATGCCGAGATGATAACGCTATGTACAGCCCGCCCAAGAATATACCGTGTTGCCTAGCCCTTCCTTCCGTTTGCTTCTTCTGTATCAGCAGCTCCTCTGCTCGCTCGCAGCCCAGGTGACGATGATAAAAAGATGACATATGTACGTGTCGAATGCGCACCGTCAAATGGCTGCTGTTTAATTTCGTTTCGTTTTGTTTTTCATTCCCCAGTTCGTCCGCGCATCATAACCCATGTGCCTCCAAGATATAAATTTTGGTCTTCAGTGTGGTCGGTCGGTAGGAAGCTGTCGTTCTCGCGGCTCAGGATTCCTCCGCGATCAGCCGCTGGACCTCGGCCTCATTCAGCAGCTTCCGCTTGCCCAGTTCCTCAGGCGGCTTACCATCACGGACAGCGCCAAAGTCGAGAATCTGCAAACTCATGTTAGTGATGAGATTCGCCTCGACGAATGCCGGATGATTCTTACCTCAACATATGTAAGATTCCCGCGCTGCACGGCGGCCACGCATCTCCGGTCATCAAACTTGACCTGCCACACGCCGCCCAAGTCCGTCAGAAGATCCTGCACGCAATCGCCACTGTCGACATCCCACATCTTGACCGTCTTCTCGCTGCCGGAAATCACCTTCCGTCCGTCATGCTGAAAGCAAGTGATGGCGCCGGTGTGGGCCTCGAGCACCTTCTTGCATTTGCCTGTTTCGGGGTCCCAGATTCTGAGCGTGCTATCGGCGGCCGCAGACACCAGCTGGTCGTCTCGCAAGTCCAAAAGGCCGACCAACATGCTGTGCCCTTCAAGGGTATACAAACAGGTTCCTGTGTTCAAGTCCCAGATCTTGACCAGCGAGTCCATGGAACCCGAGATGCACCGGTTCCGCTTGTGGTCGAGCACGACGGAGTACACTTTTTGTACGTGGCCGTGCAGAACGTGCAGTTGTTCGCCAGTGCTGATGCGCCACACGCGGACGGTGCTGTCGTAGCTACCGGAAACGAGCGTGTCCCCGTGTGCCGAGATAGCGCGCACCGAGTGGGCGTGTCCAGAGAGAATCCTGATGAAGTAGGGGCATTGGTCATCGTTGGCCGGCGGGCCGGTCTGAATGTACCGGCGGGAGCCAGCCTCGGGTAACCTCCAAACTCGGAGCTGGCTATCACGTGAGCCGGTGATGATGAGAGGCTTGGGTGGCATCATGACGGGCTTGCCGTCGTGTACTTTGCCCGTGTCCGAGGGCATAAGTATTTGCAGGCATCGGACGGTACTCGTGTGACCATAGAACGTCTGGGTACAGATGCCTTTTTGAATATCCCAAACCCGAACAGAGCGGTCTGTACTACCAGACACGAGCGTGTTGCCCTCATACTGGAGCGCCCAAACACCACCCTCGTGGCCTTCCAGTTTTGTCCTGAGCTTGCCGGTCTTGGTGTCGTAAACGTGTATCAAGGTATCGTCGCTGCCGGTGATGATCTTGTCGTCGTCGAACTGAAGACAGGTGATGACATGCCGGGGGTGAGCTGCGAAGGCAACGTGCCCCGGCTTCACCTTTCCACTCATCCAGCTCTGCCGGAACATATAGTGTCTCCGATAAAGGGACTTGAACAGGTGGAGGTTCCGCAAGGTCGAAAGACCGATCTGCGGGTCCGGGACTGCAATTACTGCCGCGTTGGCGGCTGAGATAGGACCCTCGGACTTGTGGGTTTTCGAAACGGGCAAATTCCGGTCCGATCTCAACTCTTGGCCGCTAGCCCGCCGCTTCGCCCTCTCGGCGCTGATCTGTGTCAATCCACGCTTTCGCTTCGCACTCCTCGTCCTCGGCAAAAACTCGGGTTGCTCCGCCTTGACTGCCGATCGGATGAGCTCCGTCTCGCTGGACGTGAGACGGCTCTGGTTGCTCAAGTCGACCTCGCACCCCTCAAATCCAACCGGATCTTGCCAGCCCCAGCCTTCGTTGATAGCCCTTTGGAGCTCCCCCGGCGGCAAGTGGAACCCGTCGCGGTCAAAGAGCTCCTTCCATCCGGTCTCGTTGCTGTCGATAATATGCCGCCAGTGTTTTGAGACCTGTGCCGCGCGGCAGAGGTCGCGGTGGTCCAGATAGGAGAGGACATGGAGGTTGAGCTCGATGGGTAGTTGCTTGAGAAAGTCACACTTGAGGGCTGGGTTGACCACATCTGCTACCACATGGAGGGTCTTGCGGGGACACCTTCGCAGGAACTGATACATCATCCACGTCTTCAACTCGTTCGGCATGGCGTCAAAGCTATCCAGCATTGAGCCCGGGTCCACATAGGGTCGTCGGTCTGATCCCAGCCTCGAACGCTCGTAGTTCCCAAGGGCCAACTCCATCGCCCCCGGAACCTCGGTGTCGTCTGTCATCTGGCTCTCGTCCATCCATTGTTGTTGCTCCGCGCGTGTGAGCTGTGTCGAGAATGAGGTACTCTCGCCTTCCCCGTCTTCGTCGTCAACTGGGTGGGGTTGTAACTGGGTGGCTGCTAGGGTGGGCGAGAGCCTGGGACTAGGCAGGCTCACGTCCTGGGCAGCTACCGTGTTGATATTTCGTCTCGGCGCCAAGTCGTGGCCAACGTGCGGTAGGGAGTCGTCGTGTTCGTCGAAAGGCTGCAGCTCGGCATCCGTGATCGGTGGTGTCGCAACGTTGCTGAATGTTTGTGACTCGATGTCCGCCGTGCTCTCTACGTCATAAGCCGACGTCGACTGGCTTGTTGCCGAGTCTGCCATGTCCGCCAACAACGGCCTCAACCGTGATGCACGCTCCAAACGACTACCGGCCATGTCCGAAGTATTCGGGGTCGCCAGGTAACCAGATGATCGCCGGGGTGCCCTAGCCGCATCCCTGCTACGGCCGCGTGCTACGGCATGACGCAGCTTATCGGAGGCCGAGTATGGGATGCCCGTAAGTTTCGTGGCCAAGCGGGAGCTCCGCGATGGCATCGGCGTGTAGCTTGGCGAGACGGCCCTGGTGTTTGGCCTGCGGGATCTCCGTTGGTGTGGTTCCTGCCGTTCATGCGGGCGATGGGACGATGTCGAGACCGGACTCTCCACACCGGGCTCGCGCTTGATGTCGCCGATGTCTTCAATACTCTGGGATCGTTCGGCCTTTCGTTCCGGGGTACCTAGGTCAGCGCACCTTCTTGGGTCAAAGGCCAGCGTTGCTCACCTGAGCATCTGTGTCCTCGTCTTCCCAAGCTTCCGTCTCATAGTCGTCAAGGTCAAAGGTCAACTTCCGCAACTCGGGCGGAGTCGGCCTCGCGGCGAGGGGGTATTCTTTGGAGTCGAGCGAGTGCACGTCTCGTGGTTCGCGGAGAAAGAGAGGGGGGTATGACCGCTTTGTTGTGGTTGTGGTTGTGACCGTTTTCGTCTCAACACATTCGTCGGCAAACTGCATCCTACGGCGGTGTGTTACAGTATCCTCGTCCTCCTGCCAAGTCATGGAGACCTTCTGGCTCGACCGTGGCCGGCGGGTGTCCATGGTGTGTTGTTGTGTCGGGGTGTTATTGTTTGGAAGGTCGAAGTCGCTCACTTCGTGTAAAGACGCCAGCGTAACGGTGTCGATGTGTGATGATAAAGTGTCGTCTGGTCTCGTTGACCACGCCGCGAGCGAAACTCGTGGTTGAGGTCAGGTGTTGGTGCTCGTGTCGGTGGCACGACGAAACTCGGTCCAACACGTACCGGGCACGGAGCCGTCGCCGTCCCCCGAACGCGTATCACACCCAAAAAATCCCCCACCAGTTACCAGTAATCCAGCAGGTTCAAAACTCGCCTATCATCTTCTGCCTTTTTCGCTCGGAAAAAAGTCGCTGTGGATGGACGGAAGGACGGGAATGTGGTAGTGGGGAACGATCGAACCAAGGGTTTTAGGGGCGGCAAACAGAGATGGCGGCAGACAGGGAACAAGACAGAGGAATGGTGAACAAGATGCTGTCTGTCGATTCAGACCTCGTCACGTCTCGCTCTCTGTCCGTTTTGAGAGAAAAACGCGGGTATCGGGGTCGGACGGAGAATGATGTGGCGAACAGAGAAAGCGAGTTGAGCCCGTTGGCTCCTTCTGCTTTCTGCCTTTGCTGAGGCTAGGTGACGGGCGGTGATCCAGGAGTCAGCACAAGAGGCGAGACCCAACTTGGCACGGGTCCATTCAATTTTCGGTGCCCGTGCCACCGCCCCTGGGATGCTGAACAAAAAAACAAGGTGCATCACAGAGGCACGATGAAACTGGGGGCCAAAAACGAGAAGCACAACAAGAATTTACGAGGACCATGATTGTCCATTCAAGAAGTAGAATAACTTACGCGCTACTTTGCCACTACTGCAATATAGTGGAATTTGAACATCAACAACAGCGTATCCCCAAACCAGACTTTACCTCTAATGTGCCCTTTTTTTGTCCAGGATTGCCGTTTCCGGCCAAGTTCCGGCCTGCCGAAGGGTTGGAAAGGCCGCACCAGCCACGCACCACGGCGTTGCATCACCAAACTGGAACTTCGAGGCGAGGTGCATCCAGACACAACCCCGAAACACAAAATTTCGAACTAAGGTTCAACACATGTTGTTTGTTACAGAACAAGATCGGGTCCGTTACGTATCGGAACCCGCCGTTCATCTTCATGTGGAAGAGACCTGCGAACTATTCGTAAAGCTCGGCTCATCTCCCATCATGTCATGATTTTAGCGACAAACGCGGGGAAGGCAGCCGTGGAACCAGAACCAGGGGGTTGTCGCCAACAGACACTTCTGCGCTGTTCAACGCATCCCTTGTTGCACGGTCCAATGTTCACCCTCTGTACTTTCAGAGCTTGTCAGGTTGCGGCCACTGAGCCCAACAGCGCCAGTGACAGCCACCAAGCCAGGCTCCCGATTTACAAAGCCGGAGTTGTTTCTCTTTTCCGTCTCGGAAGCCTTGCTTACCTCGAAGGACGCGGCCCGGGTGTGGAGCGCGGGGCAGCCGGAAAACCCGAACCGGCTAGTGCTACATGGGACGGCCGTGAGCCCTTAAGCATCAAACATTGGTTTGGGTTTCTTCGTCTCTCGGCCCCAAAACCATGAAGACAGCAACAAAGTCAGCCAGTTGCAACAAGATTGTGAAGTTAAGTTATCTTGGTAAATAAAGTAGTTTTAACTTCCCCAACCAAGGATTAGAACGACCCACAACTCAACGCAAACCTGAGCTTGGAAAGTTGAGGTCGGGGTTAGGGTAATATTCAGTTTGATTTACAAATTCCGGACCCTTGCTCGTGTCCAATTTCTTTGAGTTCAAATTCTGCGAGGAAACCAGTTTAAAATACCAGGGAATTTGACCGCTTCAAACCAAGCATAGTCGCAGTCAGACATCGCAGTGGCCCCCCGCGCCTTGTTTGTGCTGAGTTTGGCTCTTGCATTGTGGTTTGCTGATCAACGAACGTTTCTGCCTGATCACCGCCATTCTCAACCCGCCGAAGCAATCTTGGCGTATAAAACCGGTCTCCGATATGGCTCAGGATTTTGAATGGAGATCAAACTTGACCCAGGTACACCATCCAGCATCCGTAGATTTCGACACTTTACTCCGTGATAAACATTCAATACTACTAACATACGATAATATGTCACCTCCAAAGAAACACATGGTCCGACGTCCACACCGCCCTGTCTACATTGACGATCGACCGTGTGAAAAGTGTCCGGTACCCATGGGGTTCTCACGAGTGTCTGTTGATGGACTAAAGTTGAGGAACGCTGCGAACACAAGTCGAGCCAAAATGCACTGTTGAGTTATGTAAAATTCATAAGCCATAAAATGTGATCCAGGGCAAAAGTCGCACCTGCCTTTACCCATGGTCCTTGAGCTTTTTGCACTTGCCATCCGCACCTCCCCCGGTCTTCCTGTCTTCCGTTTCCTCCTTCAGATCATTCCTCCAACCACTTGAGCGCCTCCAAGCATTTTTTCAATGAGATTCATGCAGCCGCTAGCCGACCCCCGAAGACTGCGCCAGTGACGATTTCACACTTCCCAAATTCCCATCTTTGATTTCCCGGACCATGGTATCATCATGCCTAAACCGTCCGCAAAGTATCACTCCGCATCCGAGCAGCCAGCCAAACGCGATTTCGAGCTGTGCAAAGTTGTGTTTGGGGCAGCAGTAAGTTGTTGCCATGATGTGGTGATAGTCTACGAATCCACTTGATCGTTTCAACTCACCTTCGAGCAGATAAGCCAGATTTTATATGCCAGGTGAGTAGCACCGAAATGGATGCGCGCAATTCAACACTCACAAATGCAGGCGCGCTTTTCCGGCGGATTGTTTCCAGTTGCTGCCACTTGAACAAGTTGTTTGCCGTTCGTTCGAAGACATCGTCGGATCTGGAGATGAGATCCAAGCCCACGACAAAGAACTTCTAAGAGATCAGGGTAACACGCTCTTCGTACGGCAAGGAAAGTCCTACGGACTCAATCGCTTCCTGGGGATCATGGTATGCGCCGTCCATCTTCCCCCGGCCCCTCTTCCTTCCCCCCAAAAAAGAAATACTGGGGCTGATATCGTTTGCACAGAGAGACGACATATTTCCCATGATTGAAACCGAACATCTCGTCAAGTTCCGAATAAGTTACCTACGGACGCAGACCTGGAACGAAAACAGCCTGTTCGAATATTACACCATCGCACTCAAGTACCAAGACGACGGCAGATATGAGTTGGATGTTTGGAGGGCAGGGACAGGGAAGCAGCACATCGCGAATACCGACTCCCAGTTGTGGAATTTAGGAGATTATCTCAGCCGACTCTCCTCTCGGACGGGTCCGAACCCAGCTATCATCCCAATCCTCGTTCGACTACTAACTTGTCGAACGCAGGGCCTCTTCACTGGACTTTGGCATTCCATTCCACGGACCGGCCTGATGACCGTCCCATCGGTGTCTGGAAGTTTGATCGCACAGATTTCGACGACGCCAATTTCGGTCTCCAGCAACAACATGGATATGCGTATGCGAGAATAACGAGCCTTGAGTCAGTAACCACCTTGGACCACGCCAACTACCACTGACTTGTTTAGGGTTATGCCGTTAACCCCAGTCGAGACCGAAGATGTCATCCTTGAGACGAGCCCAGAACCGGAACTGCAGATGGGCTTTTCAGGCCACCTAAAGCTGGCCCAGGCAGCCTCCACCGAAAGAAAACGAAAAAGAGTAATCAATCCTAACGCAAGAAACGACAAAAACCCGAGTCCTTCTCGTCGGCGTCCACGAGCAGCGCAACTCTCTCCACCTTTGACACTCAACTCGAGTAGGAATGCGTCGAAAAACGTCGCGGTAGACAAGAGCATGGAAATGGAAGGGGGTGTAAACCCGAATGACGGACCGTTTCGGGGCACCGAAGGCACCCACGGCCCCAGTTCACGTAAAGGACTAGTCACGAAAAGAAAGCCGAAGCGGCCCGTGGTATGTCCTGTTGAGAAATGCCCCTTCATTTATTGATCTGACACATGAAAGCAACTCTTCGAAAACGCTGCGTCGAGTTTACCCGCGACACAAATTATCAGCCAGAGCCAATCCTTGAGTCAGAGAACTCAGGGAACAAGAGATAACCAAGTCCATACGATCGAGACCAAATCTGCCGATCAGGGGTGGTTTATGGGAAGTGAGCTGCGCTCATCGTCCCCTGGCCCGTTTGATCCGCACAGATTACTCGACGGGATTTCTCTATCGCCTGCGCCCATATCTGTAATGCAGTTCCCCCACGCCTCTCTCCCATCCCTCCCCGCCCGACATCCGGACTCCCAATATGACACACGCCAAGAGACACCGGAAGATGAGTTTAGAGGCGCACTTCGACTTGGGCCGGCATCTGGTGACACCAGGGCTTACCGTGGGATGAGCCAATGGCAAACGCAAACGTCGCTGCCGGCACCAGCAAACATTCTCGGGATCACGATCAGCGACGACGAAGAACCTGCCGAGGCGCCTTTGGAAAATCCAAGGACTCTAGCTCAGTCGACAAACGAACAGGACGATCAGGCCGGAATCAGCTATAGCTTTTCCCCGAATACAGTTTCCCGACGGAAATCACTTTTTGATGACCTCCCCGGCAGCAGCGACAGTGAGATTTGAGAAAGTTTCATGTGCATGGGGGCCCGTGGCATGGATTTGTTACCAACTTTTGCTGGATTGATCTCGTTGTCTTCTCTGGGACGTTAAATTAATACATGAACAAACTAGCTTGTAATCTATGCAAACGAAGCACTTGTGGCCTGCACCCCCCGTGACAGCCCGCCGAATGGTCATCATCGTCGAGTCGAAATCATAGCGGGCCTTTCATAGGTTGACATCACATCCCGTAACCTCCGCTTTCCTGCTACCACCGTGCTATGCCTTAGTGGTCTTGTTAATGTGCGGCCTGGTTTGCCTCTGGTTCACAATGGTTAGTGTCAACTACGACTCCACGCTGCATCTCAGTAAGGGGGATGTAGGGGTGGCTATGATGCTTAGCAGATGGATGGAGCGGACAAGAAGGAGGAGGGGGTGTTGGGGTCAGATGAGGTGCTGGCTTCTAATGGTTGTCTGTGTGTCATAGCCAAGTACTTCTCAATTATCTTCATGTTGGTTTGGTTCTCATGGATGTTATGGTTAGCGCTATGCAATTGCTCCGAGGATACTTCAAATTCGGTATTGTTATCTCACACACTTCAAGCCTTTTGTGTTATGAAGGACTGGAGGACCAGAGCACGGTCAATTTTCTCCCGGCAGCTCCAGACTGTGTGCTTAAGCGCTCTACCGCCCCCCTCTTCCTACCACCTTTCATCCCAACTCGTGGTCTGCCACACCTTCCTGCCATACCTTCCCACCAGTGCCATATAAACATATTCTACAGTCACACTGTCACCGCCTCCTCCCAATTGAACTAAACACCGGTTTAGCTCAGCGGTATTGGGAGGAGGACCGGTTGGACACCAATCGAAAGAGGACCGCTTCGACTCCCCCGCGCGGCGCAAAACTCTAAAAAAAAAAGAGTTTTCGTAACTACCAACCCTCATTCGACCGGCGAATGGGGCTCGGTGGTGAGCTTTTTGCTTTTCCACGCGACACACTTGTTCTCTGTTTTGATTAAGTTATTGATAGACCAGTAGTAGGTACATATGGATGCTGCATCGAACATCATGAGCAACGGTCTTTTCAGGTTCAACTTGGCATTCTGGACTTTCAGCCATTCTTTTTATTATTGCTTTTCTGGTGCTATTCTAACAATCTAACACACTCTCAATGCCAATCCGTCTGTTGCCCCCTTCGGGTCTCCAACCGGGTTTCTGGAACCAGACTCACCCCGCAAGCCATCACTGAAACTGCTTGTCGTAGTCGACCAGCGTAAACCTGTACCTCACATCATTCTTATGCAGCCGTTCCACTAATTAGAGAAAAAGATCAGTCAGTCAGTCAGTCAACTTCCTCAACCCCCAACCAAATCCCCAAGAAAAAAAGAAAAAAAAAGCTGGAAATACTCACGCGCCTCCCCGACCCCCTTCTCCCCCACCGGAATCGTCTCCACCCAACTCCTAATCCCCTTCTCCGCCGCCAGCCTCAACATCTCCAACGTCTCCTGCCGACTCCCCAAATGCGCCGCCCCAATCAGACATCCATTCGCCAACAACGCCATCGGCCTTACCCGCCACCCCTCCCCCTCGGGCAAACCCACACTGACAAAACGCCCGTGCACGCGCAGTAGGCTCAGGTAGGCGGATAGATCGAACCCGTCGTCGGCGCTGGCCGTGCAGAGAAGCATGTCGAAGGTCATGGAGTGCGGGGTGTTCCAGTCGGGCTGCGAGGTGGCCAGGAAGCCGTCCGCGCCCATGGCGAGCGCGTCCGCTTGTTTCGAGGTGCCCCGCGAGATGGCCCAGACTTCGGCGCCGAGGGCTTTGGCGAAGAGGATACCGAAGTGGCCGATGCCGCCGCTGTTTTGGAGGGGAGGGAGGGGGGTTGGTTAGTTGGGGTTTGGCTTTTGGGGGGATAAAAAACGGGGGCGGTCACTGGGGAGAGGGGAGAGGGGAGAGGGACGTACATGCCGACGATGCCGACTTTCTTGCCTGGGCCGATGCCGTTGCGGACGAGTGGGGAGTAGGCCGTCAGACCGGCGCAGAGCATGGGCGCGGCGAGCTCGGAGGGGAGACCGTCGGGGATGGGGAAGGTGAAGTGCTCGTGGGCGCGGATGTGCGACGAGTAGCCGCCCTGGGCGAGCGTGCCGTCGGGGTAGAAGGAGTTGTATGTGTCTGGGAAGGGGGTGGTTAACGATGGGTTCTTGCGTTGAAGACATGGGATGCAGAGTTGATGTACCCTGTTGCTTCTTGCAGTATGTCTCGTTGCCCTCTTTGCACTGCGGGCAATCCAGGCAGGCCGAGATCTGGGCACCCACGCCAACGCGGTCGCCGACCTTGACAGTCGTCACCTTGGAGCCGACCTTGACTGCGGTTCCAACAATCTCTGATGAGGTTTTGCATGTTAGCCATGTTATTGCCTCACTCCTAAGGACAGCGCCCACCATGACCAGGGATAATGGGCCAGTTCTGGTTTCCCCATCCTCCCGTCGCTGTGTGTAGGTCAGAGCCGCACACGCCGCAGCATGTGATCTTGACGTCGATATCATACTCGCCGAATGGTTTTGGCTTGAACTGGATTCATTGTCATCGTTAGCTTCAGGTTTTGGTCTTCTCGTTGTTCAGAATTCAGAGCTTCAGGGGCTCGGGATCGCGGCCTCGAACCTCTATCCGACGCGGCTGCGTGTACTGGTCTGCTGCCGGGATGGCAAAACCCTCGAATGAGTCAGGATACATGGTGATAGCGTGGTAGCGACTTTTCTTTTTTTGTTGGTCTTGTTTTGTTTGTTGGTTGTCAACATTCGGTTCGTTGTCAAGCGCTACTTTGGGAGGAGGCTAAAGTAGTCCGGCTGGACGGTGGTTTCCTTGTGGCACATGATTTTGAATTTCCCACACACGTGTCATGTAACACCTGACGCGTGGATGCGAGAACGGAGTTCAATGGTTCTCGCGTTGATGGTGGCCGCGATGCCGCCTACACCCGCTTCACCCTCGGGTTGCGGCGGCACAAACATGCCGCCTATCCCCGCTCACATAACACCGCTAGCATCCACTAGCACCATCCGCCATGGCGTTCGAGTCTATGGTTTTCATCGGGTGAGCGGGAATACCGATTACATAGCGGCCGGCAAACATGTATTAGCCTCTCAATTTTTGAACCTCGGCAATATGTCTAGCTTGTCGGGACCAAAGTCTGTCCTGAATTTCCAAGTAAACGACCTGAATACGAGAGATGGGCTCCGGGTGGACCATCATGACCCTATGGCGGAAAGGTATCCGGGAGAAGACGAAGTAGAATTGCCCTAAAATCCATCTCTATCACATCGAGAAGCGCTTTCGGGGCGAAATGGGAGAGTTTGCGTGGAGCCTGGAAGAACTGCTCGAGTGAACTTGATGCCCCCCCTAATCAACTAAGGTTTCCTGTATAGCCCACCAGAATACCCGTTTTCCCCGCTGGGAAGTGTAAACAGAAATGCAGTGAAAATGGTCTGAAAATGAAGATTGTATGACAGAAACCCAGCCGTGGCATTCAATCTACTCTATGATTTTCCACACACCAACCTCACAACCCCGCCCCCTCCATATCCGCCGCCTGCGACACCAGCTCCGTAACCGTCTCCCTAAACCGCCTATACTCCAACCCCAACTCCCTCGCCGCTGTCTCCCCATCCACCCCATGACTCTCATCCACCACCTGCTCCTCCCCGCTCACCCTCCCCCTCGCCCACTCAAACCCCTCCTCCACCACCTTCGCCACAACCCCATACGTAAACCTCTCCGGCGCCGCCACCAGAAACCTCTTCCCCCCCGCCGCGGGCCTCACCAACGCCTCGACATGCGCCCGCGCCACATCCCTCACATCCACCCAGAAGGGCACGCGCGCCACCGGCAACGGCCTCACCCCACTCGCCACCTTCCACAGCATGGCGTTGGACTCGTTGAGCTGGGCGACGCTCGCGACGGGGTGCACGACGGGGCCGAAGGTCATGGGCGGGCAGAGCGTGACCAGGTCGAAGGCGGGGCGGTGGTCGCGCATGAAGTCCCAGGCGGCCAGCTCGGCGAATTTCTTGGAGCCCCGGTAGGCGATTACCGCGCTGGTGGAGGGCGAGGCCGCTTCGCTGTAGCTGAGCGGGTTCCAGTCGGAAGAGGTATAGGTGAAGTAGGGGGGTGTCTGGCGGGTGGTGTCCATGACGGAGGCGAAGGAGGAGGTGAGCACTACGCGGCGGATGGTGGGGGTGGTGGTGGTGTTGGCGGCTGCGTTGAGGAGGGCGAGGACGCCGTTGATGGCGGGGAGGATGAGTTCGGTTTCGTTGTTGGTTGTGTTGTAGGTCAGGGGCTGCGAGGTAGGGGGTTAGTGTTATGTGAGAGGGTGCGGTTTGGAGAGGGAGAGGGCATACGCTTGCGGTGTGGATGATGCCGTCGACTCCCTTGACGGCTTCGTCGAAGATGTTCGACTGTTCTTTGCCATCTTTGAGCTTGTCGAAGTCATCGATCTGGACAAAGTCGAGCTTCCCGGCGTATTGCGGTCGAGCTTTGATCATGGCGTCGCCTTTGGCGGATGACCGGGTCGTGCCGCGGACTTTGATGCCCCGGCAGAGCAACTGGTCGACAACATGGGCGCCGATGAAGCCGGTCGCACCGGTGACAAGAACGTATTGTCTGCTCAGATCAGTGAGATGTCATATAATAAGGATTAACGTATTTGCATACGGTGATTGTGACATGGTTGAATATCTTGGTGTTGACGCTGTTCAGTCTCTCGGTTCGAATCTTAGGGGCTCGCGTGTGTGCAGCGGGACGGCGACGTGATCGAGTGCTCTTCGGATAACGGCGCCAAACCTGTTTCTGACACAGCTCGTGGTTGTGGCCTCCCGGATATTGACCTCCGGGTTTGAGGTGTTTAGTTGCTACATCGGCGGTTTACTTGGAGAATCGTGATTGTTCTCCTCGACATCCTCGTGTCCCGCTCGTGCCGCCTCCCCGCGCCCGAGTAGAAACCCGGCTTTAAGGCGGGAGCGCTGCCGTCTACACCCGCATGGTAGGCTGGGTCCCCTGAACCAACAACCAACCCAACATTGAAAATCCCGACCAGTTGTGGACTGATTAAGGTCTGCGGAAACGCACTAACGACTCGCCGGCCCACATATCTTCCCGTTATCCCCCCATGGGGAGAACTCCACCGTTTCCACCCACTTACCACGCGGTTGCCGGAGCCACGCGAACCTGGATCACAACCCCGGACCCCGGGAATGCTGAGGCAAGTGAGCAGGGGCTAGAAGCACAGGCACTGAAAACTCGCGACCGTGGCATCCGTCAGATGACAGAAGCCAGAAACCGAAGTAGCCGTAGACGCGCTTAGGTTGACTTGGCTGCGAGTGTTCGGATTCGACCCTCCAAGACAGCCGGGTGTTCGTTGTCTATATGAAGCCTTGATCCGCTGCTCCATTTGACCCCCTACCGACCAGAGTCAAGGGATCGCGTCGCGTCAGTTGATCATTCGACCGTTGACTGCCTCAATTTTCACCATGGGGTTCTTCAACAACCTCAGCGGCAACTGGCTGATTGCCTGCATCACTTTGGTCAATGCCGGTAAGATAGCATATTACCCCTCTGTCCCGGTTCCGGAGTCGAGACTAACCCCGTGTTTGGACAGCCTCCATGTCATGGTTCGGCTACGACCAGGGCGTTTTCTCAGGCGTGTTGATCTCGGCCGACTTCAAGCACTACTTCCCCGAAACGAACCAAGCCAGCATCTCTGGCATCACATCTAGCTGCTTCTCGGTACGTGTATGCGCGGGAACTTCCGAGACATACCGACTTACGCGCGTGACGTTTAGCTCGGCGCTTTCTGCGGTGCCATCTTCGCCTTCACCCTCGGCGACAAGCTCGGCCGCAAAAAGACCATCGCGCTTGGCCTCGTTTGCAATGCTGTTGGCGCCATCCTTCAGATCGTTTCGTGGCATCTGCCACAGATGATCATCGGCCGTGTCATCAACGGTTTTGGCATGGGTTAGTGTGGCACCGAGTCCCACAACTCCAACTCCTGGATCATGTTGGCTAACAACCTCCCTCCCCCCAGGTCTCACCTCATCAACCTGCCCCGTCTACCAAGCCGAGTGCTCCCGCCCCAGCGTGCGCGGCAAGCTAGTAGTCGTGCAGAGCGTGTGCAACACGGCGGCCTTCTGCCTCGCCAACTGGATGAACTACGGCCTCTTCTTCTCGGGCGGCGCTCTGCAGTGGCGCTTCCCGCTGGGCTTCCAGCTCATCTTCCCGGTGATTGTCACGGCCGCGCTGCTGTTCGTGCCCGAGTCACCCCGCTGGCTGCTGCTGCAGGACCGCCACGACGAGGCCCTCGCCGTCATCGCCCGCCTCGAGTCCAAGACCGCCACCATCCACGACAAGGAGGTCACGGCCGAGTTCCTGTCCATCCGCACCGCCCTCGAGCAGGAGCGCAAGGACCGGCCTGCGTGGAGTGATGTCGTGCGCTTCAGGGACCGTCAGCAGAATTTGAGGCGGCTGTTGCTGTCGTGCGGCACGCAGTTTATGCAGCAGTTCTCGGGTGTCAATGCGCTGGGTTACTACCTGCCTACGCTGCTGCAGCAGAGTGTTGGGTTTGATGAGCAGATGTCGCGTCTTATGACTGGCGTTAACGGGACCATCTATCTGGGTGCGGCATTATGCTGCATTCTGATTATCGATCGGTTTGGGCGGCGCAAGTGAGTATTCTTGGGTTCTTGTCCGAAGTTCTTTGCTAACCAAACCGCGCTTCTTAGGATGATGCTGTACGGTTCTACCACGATGGGTGCTTGCTATCTTGTGGCCGCCATGTGCCTCCGAGCGGCGCAAGCTGGAGAGGCCGACAAGAAACAAGTGAGCCCCGCCCTCTTATCCTCTCTAGCCCTAGCTTTGCGACGGCATCATACTGACCTCGACAGATGGGCAACGTTACGACGGCCATGTTCTTCCTGTACTACTTCTTCTACGGCACCAGTTTCGCCAAGGTGCCGTGGGTGTACAACTCCGAGGTCAACTCGCTCGGATGGCGCACGCGCGGGGCGGCGGCGGCCACGGCGACCAACTGGATGGGCGGGTTCATCGTGACACAGTTCACCAAGGTGGGCGTCGACAACCTCAAGTGGGGGTTCTACCTCCTCTTTGCCGTCATCTGCTGGGCCTACTTCCCCGTCGTTTTCTTCCTGTACCCGGAGACCTCCCGCCGCACCCTCGAGGACATGGACGAGATCTTCATGTCGAACCCGGGCGCTCTTGTCTTTAACAAGCCCGAGCTGACGCAGCGTCATCGGCCGCAGGCCTTTGTCGATGCTGAGGCTAGGCGCATTGGTGAGGGTGCAGCGGCCGAGATGGGTGGTGCTGGTGTGCTGGATGAAAAGGCTGTTGAGGATGTCAAAACGTCGCACATGGAGCGGGACCGTGAAAGTGGTGGGGTGTGAGATTTGGTGGAGATCCGGAGATGCGAGTGGTTGACTGATGAGATGAAGGATATTTATTTATTCATGGTATGCATATTATTAGTGTGTTTGGGATGGAGGTTGGGAAGTTTAGTTGTCGCAAACAGGTCGGTCTTGTTCGGATAATCCGTAATTCTTTACCATGTCAGCCGCGTGTTGATGTTACGTGCAGGGGGGAGGGGATAATGTGTGCAACTTCATTTAAATGAGCAGGCCAAAAGAAATAAAATTTCCATGGATTGTTGAAACAGGAATGAAAAATGAGTGACCGAGTCATGGAATATTTCCACATGGTCCCTGGCGAGTCGAAATGATATTATTATTAGAAGGCGCCTTCCCCTGTGTGGGTCATTCACCAGCGCTCATGTTCCACCGCTTCCACCGCCACGCGCGTCCCCTCTCCCTCTCCCCCACAAACCCCATAAACGCCGACTCCAGATCGCGGCAAGCGGCCCGCAATCGGCAACATCGCGTCTTGTCAATTCCCCATCATGAGCTTCAACCGCCGCAGAGTGGCATTAGCTTGCACCTTTTGCCGCCACAGGTAATTAATTTTATCTTTTTTCTCTTTTGGCACTACCTCGCGTATCGGTTCCAAGACCATGGAAGCAATTGACTAATTTCTCCACCGTCCCACAGAAAACGGCGATGCGATGCCACACGACCGTCATGCCGCAATTGCATCGAAGCCGACGTCGATTGCCGCTACGATGACACCCCCTCCCAACGCATCGACTCAAGTGGGGGCAGTCGCGAGATCATCAGCCGCCTCCAAGATATCGAGGCCATGCTCCAACACCACCTGCCTGGCATCTCTACACTCACTTCCGGTGTCCAGGCCATCGTGTCGCAGTCGCCTACCTTATCCGCCACCTCCCCAGCCAGTCAGGCTTCCACTCTTCAGGCCGCCCGGATTCTATCCCATGACCTTGCCGGCGCCGCCCCGGCAGCCCAGTCATGGCCGTTGCCCATGCACATGCAGCAGCAGTCCCAACTGTCCGGAGTGACCGACGCCGAGCTCCCGCCCCTGACAATCCCCGTCGGCCACAAGACTTCTTCCAACTACTTGCTCCGCCTACCCGCCATGAAGCAGCTGATAGGCGAGTATCCCGCCGATCTGTTTTTCCTGCTCGAGTCGCGGAATCCGCTGCCCCCGGAGATGCCAGCGCACTTTGGCGCTCCGTCGATGAACCCCGTGCCTCCAGCCGAGCTCTCCAAGGATGTGCTCGACCGCTTTGTGTCCGCTTTCCTCTCCGGTGATGACCACACTCATCCTATCCTCGACAAAGACGAATTCCATCGCATCTATCAGGGGTTCCTCGAAAACTACTATTCAGACCCCTGGTGCATCGAATCAATCTTGTGTCTTGTAGTCTTCGCCTTCGGGGCCGCAAAGCTAGCGCGGCCTGGCGCCCAAGGGTTCCAGTCGGAGCCGCCGGGGATGGTGTACATGCAGGCCGCGCTGCCGACGTTGGTATCCATGTCCTCGTGGTCTGTCAGCTACAGCCTGCTCCTCCCACAGGCTTTAGTGTTGGCGAGTGTTTATTTTGCCTACATTATCCGCCCCCTCCAGAGCTGGAGGCTCGTGTATTCTGCCTCCTCACTCTTGCAGTTCAAGCTGTGTCGGTAAGAGCGCCCTGGCTAACATTGCGTTCGTTTCTCACCTAACGTGATGGCAGGTTATCCGCTCGTGATGACGACCCGGCCGCGAGGGAGGTCATTCTCCGCATTTTTTGGTCTTGCTTCCTCGTCGAGTGTGACCGTTTAGCCGAGCTGGAGCTACCCCAAAGCGGTTTGCAGCAACTCATAGACAAGACCAGTCTCCCTAGCTTTAGCGGCGTCGACGACTCGCAATCCACGACCTGTCTCGCTGAAATCTCCATCCGCCGTCTGCTCAACCGCGTGCACAACACACTTTATCCGCGGAAACAAAGCGTTCTCTCGTTATCTTCGACCTCATTGACCGCTTCCGATGAGTTCTCGGCCGCCGAGACTGCTTCGGTCGCGTCCATCTGCGACGAGCTCTACCGGCAACTCAATTCCTGGTACGAGTCGATTCCGGAACCTTCTCGCCCGACGCTGGGCACTGAGCCTACAGGACACGACCGCAAGACCATCTTGCGAATCCGCTACTACGCGGCGAGACACATCATACACCGCCCCTTCGTCCTTTACATCGTCACAAACGACCTTCCGCATGTGGCCAACGCTGCTATCTTGGAGAAGGCCAGCGTGTGCATCGAGAGCTGCCGGATTTACCTCCAGAATACGAGAGAGATTCTCGCGAAGCAGAGCCAGTACACCTGGACCTTTTCCCTATCGTAAGGGTTTCGTTTTTCTTGCAAGACAATGCGGACTTATATTGACGTTTCTGGCAGTTCGTTAGGGGCACTCGTGGTCCTCACGCTGGCATCCCGCAGTCCCGCCCTCTCCCATTTGGTACCCGACATTGACGAGCTCCAAAGCCTGGCAATTAGCAACGTAAAACCTTGGGCCTATCCCGGCTCCAGTCTGGAGATGGTCGTCTCGGTCATGGAGGAAATGCAGAAAAAGCAGCGGCTATTATTGGCTTGCATCTAACTGAACAAGTCGCGTACGCAATAAACGCCTCAACGCCAAACCGATATGCAATCAGCCGGCTACTACAACTCTCCGCCCGTCGGCTGCGCAATAATCTTCTGCCCGATATCACTCCGCCAGAAGCTGCCGTTCGGGTACGTGTACTTCTCGAGCGCCTCCTCGGTGTACCCAATGCTGTACCCGGGCTCGATCGGGGTGACGTAGTGGGCGTCAACGATCTTGGACGGGTGCCGCAGGCTCTCGCGGTGGCTGTCGGCGAACTCGAGCATGGACCGCTTGCCGCTGACGACCACGTAGTCGATCAGGCTGAGGTGGGAGGTCAGCTCGGTCAGGCCCATGGCGCCGTTGTGCGGCACGCAGGGCACGTTGAACTTGAGCGCCATCAGCATCACGGCAAGGCATTCGTTGACGCTGCCGAGCCGGACGGCATCGATCTGCGCCACGTCGGTCGCCTCGGCCTGCAGGAGCTGCTTGAAGGTCACGCGGTTCTGGGCAGCCTCGCCCGTGGCAACGCCCACGCCATACGGTTTGAGAGCCTTGCGGATGGCCGCGTGGCCGAGGACGTCGTCGGGGTTTGTGGGCTCTGAGAGTGAATTAGCGGAGATTCTAGAAGAAAGACAAGTAGCAAAACAATACGAACCCTCGATGAAGACAGGCTTGAACTCGACCAGCTGCTTCATGTACTCGATCGCCTCGGGCACGCTCCAGACCTAATCGTGAAAGTCAGCTTCATACCTTCGCAGTCGGACAAACCAACCACACAAGACTCACCTGGTTCGCATCAATCATGATCTGATAGCCCTTATCATACCCCAGCACATCCCGCACCGCCTTCAACCGCTCCCGATCCGCCTCCACACTGGTTCCCACCTTGAACTTAAACACCGTAAACCCCTGCGCAATCGTCTCCGCCAGCACCTCCTTCATCCGATCCCCACTAAACGCCAACCACCCCGGACTCGTCGTGTACGCCGGCACCGCCGTATTCGCCAGCGCCTCCTGAATCCGCTCCTCCTTCCCCGCCTGCGTCTTCTCCAACATGGCCTGCGCCTCCTCCGGCGTCACCACGTCCGTGATATACCGGAAATCGATACACCGCACCACCTCGGCGGGACTCATGTCCGCCACGATCCGCCACACCGGCTTGCGCGCGATCTTGCCCCACAGATCCCACACCGCGTTGAGCACCCCGGCCACCGCGAGGTGCGTCACCGACTTCTCGGGCCCGATCCACCGGTACTGCGAGTCGGACACCATGTACCGCCAGGTGCGGCCCATGTTGGCGGTGAGCTGGGACATGCTTTTGCTGACGACCCGCCGCGCGAAGATGTCCAGCGCTAGGGTGATGAGTTCGCTGCCGCGGCCGTTGCTGAAGGCCTGGAGTGAGAGGGGGAGTGGTTAGGACATGGCGCAAAGCAAGGCGGGGGGAGGGGAAAAAGGGAGAGGGGGGGGGGGGGGGGGACGTACGATGCTCTCGCTGACGAGGGTCGTCGTGGGTGGTCAGCAAGCGCACGTACGGGTGCGAGCCGTTGGTGCCGACGTGCATCGCGTCGGAGCCCACGCCGTCCAGGCTGGTGGGGGAGCGCAGGTCGGTGACCTCGAAGCCGATGATTTCGACATTGTCGAAGGGTCGGTTGGGGGA